CAGCTCCTGCAGCTGCGTAGACAACTCTTGCATCTCGATGGGAGCCAACTGATATGGTGCCTTGGATATCGGAGCCGCACCAGACATTAGATCAATCCTGAACTCGACCTGTCTCTCCGGAGGTACCCCAGGCAGATCCTCCGGGAATACGCCTAGGTAATCTTGCACTACCGGTGAATTATCCACTATCGCCTTACCCTTATCCTGGGTATCCATAACATAGGCGATATAACCTCCGCACCCCTGCTGAACATGGAGTCAACCCATACTATGGCCTCTCACCTTGAATCACTAACCCTCCCCTACTAGAAGTCTGAACCCTCACTAGCTGTTTATCGCAGTCGATCATTGCCCCATTAGGGCTCAACCAGTCCATACCAACTATAACCTTATTCCTTTTTAGGGGAATAGGGACTAGATCAACTGAAAACTGCTCATCAAATAGTTGTAGCGTATATTCGCGGTAAACCCTCACGACCCGTACTGCCCTATCATCTACTATCTCGACGTCCAATGGACACTCAAGCTCCCCCGGAGCTCTAACGAATTGTTTACTAAGTGTGAGCGACATAAAAGATCGGTTAGCCCCGAATCAAACAATACCAAAGTAGATATATCGTTCACCAAGAACGATCCAGTCACATCATCGGGAGCTGTACGTGCCTTCTCTGAAGTCAACTGAAAATCCCTGTTCCTACCTGTCGGTGCCTCTGCCCGGACCTGACGACCATCTGTAATCTTCAACGTGGCGGCAGTGGGTGCTTCCACCTATCCTGCTACTTCCAAACTCGGACATTGGGCCTTCTTGTGGCCCCTCTGATTGCACTGAAAGCAAATCAGATCTGAAATTGTTGTGGTGGTGGTGGTTGTACAGTCTCTGCTCATATGACCAGTACGGCTGCACCTGAAATAGCCCGAACTCCCCGCCCTACACGCCCCCTAGTGTATCTCGCCACACCAATTGTGGCCCTGGTGGCTCCTCAATCTGTGATCTGATACCTTGGGTTTCTTGCTCGCACCTGCTGTCTTTACCCCCTCGGGTTTCCTTTTCCTCTCCATCTCCAAGTCTAGCTCCCTAATCCGAGCTCTCGCAATCATATCTTCCAGCGTCTTGCAACTGGAACGTCTCACAAACTATCATATGTCGCTCCTCAACATCTCAAGATATCGGGACTTACTCTCCTCATCTGTCACGTACTGTGGAGCAAGAAAGGCCCTCTCCATAAACTTGGTGGTGATCAAGTTCAACAGTTAATTTAGCTAACTTGACACGTCAAATTTCTTAAAATTAAACTCAACATCCTTAAACCTAGCTTTTAACGCATCAAATTTGATAGTTAATTTGGTGATTTCCTCTTTAGGATAACGATGATGAACACATTTGGTGTTATATTCCTCTTAATCCTAATTAAATCTTTATTTTGAGCATCTAGTTTTTCTTTAAGAGGCATATTGACTTTCTTAATTTCAGAAATTTCATTTTTAAGGTCAAAAACCTCTCTAACTAATAACTCATTTTGGTCACGATATTTGATATGTTCAAAAATATACCTATCTAGCTTTAAATTTATAACCTAACTACTTATCTACTAATAGACCTATAGGCAGTGTACCTAGTCAGTATATAGTATAGTAAAGTAAGTTCGGTGTCGAACACAGAGAATGGATTTAGCATACTAACCTAATTACTAAAAAATAATCTAAAATCAAACAAAGTTAAATTAGTTTTTATCTGATTTTGCAAGTTCAGACAAACTTAAACACTCAACGGAAACAGTTGTAATCAACATATTAAAAACACTTTCATTTAGTTTCGAATCAACCTTTTTCTTATGGTTAGCTCTTATTTATGGATTAAAAAAGTTGGTTACCAATTTATATATAATTAACAATTTGGTTAAATCTACTAATATTTTTACCAATTCATGAACTACTACGTAAGGTCTTATATTAGTAAACACGAAATTAGTTATTAATGATAATTGGGCTATGTAAGATATATCTAGATAATCATATATGTTAAAGACAATAAATCAAACACAATTATGGTCACAATTATGTTCTCTAACACCGCTAAAGATGTTACCTTTATTACTTAACTAAGATGTGGTCAATCCTAGCTCTAGCAATTTAATGGTCACTAAACTACACTTAACTAGAATTAAATCAACAAAGATGCATACTTTAACATGCTAGGTAATGATAATCCAACAGATGCATAAACCAAATTCATATAATCCATAAAATAAGAAAACTAGCACATAGTATTAAGGTTTCATCTAACTAATCGAAAGTCTACTAATTTAGCTACTCATATATGAAACTAAACACACAAGTTTATAAGAATTTGACATTAAATTAACTCAACCCGAATGTAGTGTTTTAATCTTCAAAATCTAGATCTTCAAACACTCTCTCCTTCCAAAGCATTTTTTCGCACTTTTCTAACCTCCAAACTCAATTATAACTCCAGGAAATCATATCCACCCGCCCCCAAGTCGATATGATAAGGGAAATTTATAGTTTCCAAATATCTCGTCTCACATCATGAGAATTAGTGTCTCACGTCGTGAGATCAGTAGAATTCGTGTTCGGCAAGGAAATTGCATTTCACGTTGCTATCATCTAGAATAATCAATCTCACGTCATGAGATTATACTCCTCACGTCGTGAGAACTGGGAATCAGCATTTGGCTTAAAAGCGAAAGTCGTCCAAAATTTTGTCTAGTTTTTAGATCATTTTGAATGTCGTCCATTGGAGTTACGAGTCATGAGATATGGTCAAAATACCGACGAGGGATCAAGTTGTCTAGCAACATCTTTTTTGTATATTTTTCAGCTCCAGTCCTCCAAGTATCCAGCTTTTGTCGGTTTCATTCATTTTCTTCAAGAATGTCCACTTTTGGCTGCAAAATATAATTTAAACATTATAAGTACCAAATATCTTTGCAATTAACTAAAGTATAGCTTAAAATGTATTAAAATATTGCCTAGATATGTGTATAAATATGACACTGTCAAAATACCCCACGCGAAACTATTTATTTTTAATTTAAACCTTCATCACTAGCATCACATAGAACAATCCATTTTCAACTCAGCCATTATACCAAGACCTCAATGCGCATATTTGTGTCTAACTCCTAATAACTTCCCAATCCTAAATACTAACATTCCTTAGGAAACTTCGCCCCTTAGATTATATGAAACTAATTTCTACAACCCTCCAAATCAATCCTCGGAAATATTTCTTAACCTCAAGGTATTTTTGGTTAAGCTACCTAAGAATACATAATCTAGAAATTACAATTTTAGATACCAAAATGGTGCTCTTGGAATTCTTCACTTCTTTGATATTTGATCTTTTAGTTCTTTAAATTCACCACCTTTTTTATTTTTGGTATCTTTAATTTTTGATTCTATGGAATTTTGATCTTTTGATCTTCATACTTAATAGCTCCAAAATTCTTCAACTTTTTGGTAGTTTCTCTTATATATATATATATATATATATATATATATATATATATATATATATATATATATATATATATATATATATATATATATATATATATATATATATATATATAACTCACTTTTTTCTCTCAAAACCTACATGCTTAAGCAAGGGATCTTAACTTTAATCTTTATTGGTTAGAGACATTAGTCTAAGTGCAATGACTACATAAGCTTTCCTGGATAGATTTTAGGTACAGGCTGCAAAACTGATTATGCCATATAAACTACCAGATTACCTTTCATATCTCATGGCTTTTCACCATGAATGTGAAGCCACAAATACATTATAACATATGTTAGCTCAGCTAAACATTTGAGCTTGTACTAGATCATCCCACGCAACACTAGCAATTTAAGTTCAAACTATTATTTCTAGATTTAATTTTAGCTTATTTTTAAAAATCTATTTCTAAATTTCCTAAATTTTAAACTTTTCTAGCAATTTACGTTTTTGACCCCCTACCCCACACTTGTGACATACAAAGCCCCCATTGTATGAATAAAATAAGATAAAGCAATAAAAGAAAGAAAAAGGAACAGACCCCCCGAGGGTAGTAGTGGCGAGATCGAATTCTGAAAGTGTGGAAAACTTGAACACCTTGAATATGTGAGTGGAACTTGGAATTCCTTGATATGTGTGAATGTGATGGCAAAGATGTGAATTGGAAACTTGCATATTCAAAAAGTGTGGTGCATAAGATCTTTAAAGCATAACATCTCAACGTGGGAAAGCAGACGCCACATTGTAAGATTAGAATAGTAGAATAAAAATGCCAATTTTAATGGTCACGACATGGTAAGAATGGGCACGACGTGGTGTCGAGCTAAATCGAATTCTGAATCTTGATGGCATCGAGCTCACGACGTGAGGAGTGAAGGCTCACGTCGTGAGAATTAGGTCTTCACAGATTGCAATTATACAAGAATTCTCCCATCCAAGTGAAATGCAATTAAACTTCTTAACGGATTAAGACTCTTCTGAAACCTTTATTTTTTGGACCCTCTCTTTCTCTAATCTCACTACTAGAAAAACAGCCTTTTACGACGCACAATGTGCGTCGTAAAACGATCCGATGGCGCGCAAATGCACGTCAAGGAAGGCCCTGTCATAACGAGAGACGACGCGCATTTACGACGCGCTCTTACGACACGCAATACGTGTCAAGGAAGGCCCTGTCATAAAGAAGACGACACGCATTTGTGTGTCGTAACCTTACGATGCTCATTTATGATGTGCATTGCGTATCATTAAAGCCCCTATCATAAAGAAAGACGACACACATTTTTGTTTGTCATAAAGTTAAATGTTTTAAAAATTATATATTTTGATAGATTTACTAATTTTCAAATAAAATAACACATTAAAAATTTCATAATACAAAATAAAATACCATAAATAACAAAGATAATTCATTTCACTAATATGTCAAATACAAATAATTATTCTAATAGTGAGTAAATGTTATAAAAAAATGAACTCAAGAGAAGCAGAATTTATATACAATTGCATTATCTAGCTTACTATGTGCCAACAACTCTTTGTATGTTTGCTTTTGCTTGAGTCTTGTTTCCTCAAAAGCTTCTAGCCATGCCAAAGTATGGTATCTTTGGGTTCGTGTCCAAATCAAGTAAAACATTGCTAGCTTAAATTCATCAAGTCCTTGGCGTGAAGTCTTAGATAGAAGCTCAACTGCAATCTCCAATCCTTCTGGCAGACCCTAAAGATCATTATTGGCCATGTAGCAGGATCAACTTGCCAAAATTAGATAAGTTAAAAATATGCAAAACAATTGGTGAAAAGACATAAATGCCCCTACCTTGTATTCAACAGTAGCAATGTTCTGCAGGAATTGGAATTAAAGAAGAATTGGAATTTGTCACGCATTTGGTTGGCAGAAGATCCAACTACAAAATTTGATGATAACCAACATACTACAACGTTAATAATGGGGCTTAGATTATGTATGCTTGTATATTTGTAGAAATTGGAATTGAAATAACATGAATTAACAGAATCACTGGTAGGATTTTGTGAATCAAATGGAATTCAATTCCAATTCCTGAGGAATCCAACCACCTCAAACGGTAAGGTATATACAAGAAAACCAAAGGTAAAAATATAACAGCATACCTCCTCATATCGCCCATGCGCGTACAAGAGTGGTCTCCACTTAAATTAATAACCAAAAATATATGCCCAAACTCAAATGGATTACTTTTTTAAAAAATTGGATTAACTAAGAGCTTTCAACCAAAATATAAACAACACCAGTTTGCACACATTACATTACATCATATTTTCATCATCTCATTTTGCTATGCAGTATGCATGTATGGATGGATGGATGTACCTCACGAAATGTCATAAGGCTTGGCTTGTCTCCAACAGGTAGCATTTGGTTGTACACCATATGGGCAATTGGTAACCTAACAAAGTTTTTGTCATCTAATAGTACACGAATTCTTACAACAACTTCATCTATCCATGCACCACCACTTTTCTCATCTGAGCGAGAGTATGGGTCAAAGTAAAAATAGGAAATGGGTTTGCCTCATAAATCCTTGATACGATAAAATCTGACATCAGCATTCCAAACCTACACATTTAGAAGAAAAAAATACATAAGAAAGAAACGAAATCCTAGATGACAAAAGAAATAGATTTATTTAGAATTTAGATTATATCTTACTGGTACTAAACCATCAGCATCACCTAACTTTCATGTAATTTCTGTGGGGCATCCAGCCTGACACTGACATTGGTGGCATGATGGTGGTCTGAGCCTCTCAAAGCGGCGGCCTGAGAATGCAGGTTTTAGCATCAACTTTTTTAACAATAATATATATATATATATATATATATATATATATATATATATATATATATATATATATATATATATATCAGGAAAAGGAAAAGGAAGGGGGTTGTAATCACTTACAACCTTCTGCATGGATTCGTTTGTGACTCTTGGGGAGGACTTCCTTGAAACCTGAGCAGCAGCATTTGCTAAGAAGAATGCTTCGTCTTTGTGACCAGCTAGAGAACCAACAATAACAACTCCAGCAAAAAGGTATTTCCCTGATGGGAAGCTGCTCTTGATCAAGTCAAGAGTCTTTTCACCATGGATCAAATCAATAGAGAAACCAGCAACTCCAGGCAATGAAGTTAGGATTTGGAATGCTTCAGCTGGAATATTAACAAATTAGGTGGCAACAATAACATTCAGACCACAACAGGCTGATTTTAGCATAGAGTAGGCCTTGCTGAAAGCTTCCAATTGGTACCCCTCAAGATCCTTCACAAGGGTATCCTCGTCAACCTGGATCCATGTAGCATCGGCTTCCTTTAACTCAACAATCACTTCCCTGCAGGGGTAATTCTTGTTGTAATGAAAGTGGGATTCTACTTTATTGTAAAGAACATGAAAATGATTAGGAAAAAGAAGCATACTTGTAGATTGGAAGGATTTTATCAAGAAGATACAGAAGATCAAAGGTTTTCTCGACACCCTTTGCAGGTTTTAACAGCCATAAGTAGCTGACTTAGCCATAAAAGAACGGGACAATTTCAACTCCAAGTTGCATTACAAACAACCAACCAGCATATTAACAAAAAAAAAAAGATTACTAAATCCTATTTAAAAGAATCCAGAAAAAGCATATCAAGAACACATATAGCCTTAGCATCCTTGTATTAGGTCACAACCTTGTGAGAAGTATAAGAGAACTGCACATCCAAAAGCCTGGTATTCGGTCACAGCCTTAGCCTTGTGAGAAGCATTAGTATTAGAATTTGATTACGACTCAAACTAACAACATCCAAAAAACCTATGGGGGGCAATATGAAACTTACTAGTTAGTGTCAAACCACTTGGTCATTTCCATAGTATTGAGTTTTTGGAGCCTGGATGTTGGACCGGGGGCGAGACTGGGGTCCCCGTCTCTGTCGGGGAATTTGGTGAGATGCGCAAGGGATATGCGCAGCAGAAACCACAGATCAGAGTGGAGACGATCCTCGGTTGGATTGTATTTTCTTGCATAAGGAAAAGAGAATTCCGTGACTTGCGTGTCACGGGGCCGGGATAGTGGTCACGGGGAGGAAGTTAGTGGGATATTTGGATCATGATATGGGTGACCTTTAGAGGCTCAGCTGTAAAGTCAAAAGCTGACCTGGTGCTCAGTCTCGAAGAGGGATATGAGATGAGCTAGAGCTTATCATGATGATGTCTGAGGACACCTCAGAGGGAGCGAACAATTCAGACGCTCAAATACATGCTTCGGGCATGTGTATTAGATTTCGGAGGGAGTTGCGGCACGTAATTATCCTTGGTTGAGTTATCTTATATCAACAGCCATCATTAGTGCATTGGTATGCCGCCCTTTGAGCTGTTGTATGGGAGGAGGTGTCAGACCCTCATTTGTTGGGGAAAGTGTTGATTCGCGGAAGTGGAAGTAGTAGTGAGAATGGATGATTTGGAGTATGGTGGTCGAACACTGTGTCTGTGACAGTGGTATGGAATGACATCATGATGGGATGTCTGCTGAGGACGCGGAAGGGATTCCGCAGGTGTAGAGCCAAAAGTCTCAGGATGGATGCAGGGATGGAGTCTAGGACTCCCAGCTTGATTCTGATCAAGGGCTGTGTGCGTAGTGGTGGTTTCTCCTAGGAATGTTAGAGATGTCATCAGTGTGACGGGTTTTCCTAACCCGAGATTGCGAAGGTTGGTGCGGCATGGGTGTGTGATTACAAGAAGAGGACTCATGGGAGTTACTCTGGGATTGAAGAGTGGGTCTTTCCGTCGTCACGGATTGGATAGAATGGGATTCGGATCGGGGATCTGATGGTTCATGGCTTCTAACCCTTATGGGTCGAGTGATTGTTGAGATTTGGGCAGTGATGCTTCATGGGTAATTCTCGGATCGTTGAGTATGGTTATTAGAGGGTACCTCCGGTGCCCGGTTCAAGACAGTGGTCAGGACACCGTAAGGAAAGGGAAAGTTTGTTCGAGTTTCAATGGATATGCCTTGTGAGACCTGGTCCGATTAAGGCCAGGTGGCACGTTGTGGGAGTATTTCCGGAGTTGAGTTGCTGTAGGCTTCGAGGACGAAGCCTAATTTAAGTGGGGGAGAATTGTAACATCCCGAAATATCAAGAGTAGAGTTGAAGGGCTAAAAGAGTAAATTAGGAAAGAGTGACTCGGCGAGTCCATGTGCGGACTCGGCGAGTAGAGTCGCGACTTGGTCGCGTGTTAAGTGGCCGACTCGGCGAGTAGGCGTTGAGTGGAGAAAACCCTAATTCTCGGGGTTGAGCCTTATATAAAGATCATTATGTTTTCCTCCCAGCCTCTTTATCACCCCTTGAGCCCCAGAAAACCCTAAACCGCGGAGAAGCACCATTGTTGAGTGGATTGGAGCTTGGAGAAGTAATTGTTGAAGGAATTTTGGGAGATTGAAGGTTTGGATCAAGGGGCTTTGCTTGGATTCGAATTACATTGCACTTGGGGCATCTCTTAGAGGTAATATCTCGTTATTGGACTGTTGTTATGTGGTTTCTCCATTTTGGGGTTGTGGGAATTTGTCTAGGGATGTAATGGGAAGTCTAGAGGCTAGATCTGAGGTTGCTACCTCAGATCTGGAAGGGAGAAGAATCAGAGAGCATGAAAGTCCCTGTGTTGGATTGTTTAGTGAAGCTTACATGTCCCAAACCCAAGCCCAATGCGCAAACGGCTTAGATCTCTTTGGATTCACGTAAAGTTTGCCACCTTACGTGATGGATGAGTGGTAGGAGACTAGATCTATGCTTTGGAGCAGTTGCATGGCCTGGAATGCTTCTGAATGTATTCAGACCGGTGGTACTCGTCGAGTCACATGGGTGGACTTGACGAGTTGGATGAAGATGGCCTGGAACTCGGCGAGTTGTATGAACAACTCGGTGAGCAGGTTGAAGATAGCCGTAGACTCGGTGAGTCTGTTCTTGGACTCGACGAGTCTTGTCGAAGAGTCCCAAATATTTTCTGGTTGAGTCGAGAATCGGCGAGTCAAGGGATGACTCGGTGAGTTGTGTGCGAGTGGACTCAGAGTTGTGGGACTCGACGAGTCTCGGGGTAACTCGGCGAGTTGAGTCGCGGATTGGGGAAGTTCTGAGCATGGGGACTCGACGAGTCGACGGGTTGACTCGGCGAGCAGGGTCAACTAGGAGGGTTGACTTTAACGGAGGACTTTGACTTGGACCAAGAGTTGACCGTTGACTTTTAGGGTTTGGTCAGCGATGTGGCCTTTGGGCCAAGAGAGGGGTAAAATAGTCTTTTACCCTTAAGAGGGTGCCATGATAGGGTTGATTCTAGTCTCGAGAGTTATATTCATGAGAGTATTTGCCTTACGTGTTAGGCGGTGGCGGGCTCGAGATTCAAGTGTGGGGATATCTGCTTTCTGTTTGCCAGGTGAGTCTTCTCACTATACTTTACCTTGAGTAGGTAACCAGAGTTATGTGATAAGAGTATTTGTATGCTATATGTACGTGATGTGTTGTACTGTATTATTTCTATGTGATTTATGCTGTGCATGTTTATAGAGTTGGAACCGGAAGGTTCCTAGAGTTAGAACCTGAGGGCTCACAGAGTTTGGGTGCACGGACCCATAGAGTTATAGCCTCGAGTGGCTAATATGTGTTATGTGTGGTATTTTGGGGAACTCACTAAGCTTCGTGCTTATAGTGTTTTGTGTTATGTTTCAGGTTTCTTTCAGGATCACGGGACCGCACCGGCTTGATTGTACACACCGGAGAAAGAGTCATGTTTTGAGGATCCTGGTTTAATATGCAAGTGAAAATGGAGTTATGTTTTGTAATTCGATTATGAATGAGATTTTAAACAAGTGTTTCTAAGAATTAAAAGATTATTTTAAATGAAAAATTGCTTTGAAATTTACGGTGTTACATCTGGCAATGTGCCCAGTCTATCTTGTTCTACAACACGCCTAACATTATCGTGATCAAAAAAAGCCAATCAATAACAAATACAAAATGATTTATCTATATAGGTATCTAGCAAAAAAACTCAAAAGAAAATATCTAATCCTTAGTGTAGTTTATACTATGTAGTGATTGTGCGCGACAGATCAAAGCAAAAAGAAAACGTAAAGTACTCTAATAAGAGAACGAAGAAGATACATAACAAGATAAGAACAAGTGTGGTGTGGACTTACAACTAAGGCTGTAGAGGGGTGAATAGGAGGTTGAGATCGATCCTGAGCGATGATAGAAGTTCAGCTACCCTGGAAGATGCTAAGACCGGAGAAGAACTCTTTTATGAAGTTCAGCATCACGAGCGATTACAAGAAAGGCGTAGGTGTCTAAACCCTTTAGGGTTTATGAGATGGCGCGAGTGTTTAAGCCCTTTAGGGTTTATGTTTTCCTGTTTGTACCAAAGATTTTGCAAGAAATACGAGGTGAGTGACCGAAATCCTCAACCTCTGTGCACACAGCAGGTTCATCCGACTCCAGCGTATTAGCGACCGATTGTTATTACAAATTAAGTGAGATATGCGAAGCTGTGGGAGATCTTTATGAAATCTCAGGTTGGGTTTTAGGTTAGAGAGAGAAATGAAGACGAAGACCCTAGGCTTCTTTCTTGATAATTGGAAGCAGAGGGGGTTTTAATTTTTCACGGCGCGATTTTTGTTGGGATTTCATTTCCTGCTTAAAACACGTGTGTTGTTAAAAAAATATAAAACGACAGTGTTACATGACGCACATTTTATGATGGGCGTCCTTCGTATTTCTTTTTTTTCTTTTCTGACACTAATTTCAGGGCATGTATAAATGCATGTCCTTTATCCTTCAAATTTTAGAAGAGATGACGTTATTTTTAGGGCACACACTTTTTCATATTGCAAATCACTGCGTGTCATTGTTTGCGCATCATTAAATGACTGTTTTCTAGTAGTGTCTCTTTTCACTCACGAAATTCACCCACACTTATAAAAAATTATGGGTTTCGATTCTTATCTCTAACACTCACGACTTCTTTCTCTCGACATTCTAATAATTATTCAAACAAAACAAACCATTGGTTGTAACAAGAAACCAAACATCTATCATCCGGTTACATGTCTTTAAAAACAAAATAAAAAATAAAAATAAACACACAAGTTAAACACACCAAAAAAAACTAAGAAAATAAAAATAAAAATAAAAGGATATAAATTCTTCAAACATCAGGTTGCCTCCCGAAAAGCGCTTCTTTTTGTGCGAGTCTTGAGTTGGACTCCCAACATAATAAACTGTCAATCCGCTCATTATTAATCCATTCGTTTCATCGAATACTCTCTTCATACTAGCTTATAAAATTTGACCTCTTGTTTCAGTTTGTGGCCAAACGAGCGCGCATCTATTTAGTCCTAGGAAATTAAAAATGGTGGGGACTGGTTGGTCACTTGTTAGAAAATGATC